TTTACAATCCGCCTCTAACATTGGATGTCTTTTGTGTATATATATATATATATTTTGCGGCAGCGAAAACAACTTGAAAAAACTGCCTTATCATAAATAACTGTAATATAGCTAACTATTTATTTATTTATTTGTTTGTATTACAAAAAAAGTTTCAAGGCGGACGGTGGTGGTGTGGAATCCCCCGAGATTATAAAAAAAAACGTTTTAAAGACCCATTATGCTTTTAATTATATTTCTTAAAAGATTTTAATTTCGGTGTAATTCTATAGTATCCGAAAAGTTACTCATTGGTCAATTACTTGAACCATCTTTTTTCATATGTTGTTTTTGGCAATAAGTACAGTTATAGTGAATTGGTATTTTTAATGGAATTGTTTACATTTTCCTACTTTTCTGACAAATTATTTCATATGTATCCCGACTTTTTTTAGGTAACAAATATCTTACATTTCTCTTATACCATTATTTAAACATTATAAAATTCATGTTTGCCCTTTCTAAAGAAATATCTTTATATATGTTTCAGAGGCATAATGTACCTGAAACTCAATAAAATATGACTCTCCCTGCAAAATAATGCGGACACCCTTAGGAAATAGATTTCCCTTTAAAAAAGTCTCTGACGAATTGTTGTTACGGAGCTTACAAAAATACTTAAGTTTGTTGATCAACTTTAAGGAACTCCACTGAGGTCCAAAAACCCAAAACCAAAAATTATTGATTCTTACATATTTATATTAACTGAGAAACATTAAACAGAAAGTAATTGTGTGCTATTCTTAGTCCGATTTGAATTAAACGCGTTGTAACGCTTTTCAATTTTGGACTCATTTTTTAATATAAGATTTGTTAAGATCATCCGAAAAACTTGCTATTTCACCAGAACATTGCAATAGAGTATATTTATAGTTCTTTAGAAAAAAATATTAACTGCATTATATTACATCCCCATCATATTTGAAAAAGGGGTTCAATATGACACCAAAAATTATCAAGTAAATGGCTGACAGAACAGGATTTTTTTCAAAGCATAAAATTATTCTATTTTTAGGAATACATTTACAAATTATGTACTGTAGCACTTTGTTATATGGGCACAATTTTTAGATATTTCAAGTTATAAAATTAAAACAATTGTCACTTATGCATCAAATACTGCTACATCAGAATTTAAATGGCATTAAGTAAAATTGATGTATGTAAGTATCGACCATCATCTTGAACTCCACCTCAAATATTTTAAAGTCGCAGACAAAAAATAAGACAGTACTCAGTATTTAAGCAGAAACTTTGTAGACACCTGCAGAACTCTGGAACCCAGAGTACGTGCGTTGATATGTAACATATTAACGCACTTTGGGATCAATTTCTCCATTCTGATAAGCTTGAAAGCGGCCAAAAACGTTCTGCAAGATTTATAGCTTTAAATTACCAGGATTGTTACAAAGTTTGATGACAAAAATTTTAAGGATTCAAATAAACAACATCAATGCGAACGATGACAATAAAATAGGCTAATAGTTCTATTTAAGTCAAAAAGCAAACCTACGCATGGAACAATTATGTCGACCATTTCGTATTTCTAAAATATGCACAGGAATCATTGCAATAGAATTTTAACAAGAACGCACGCTATGAAATATAGTTCCATTCAGGACAGACTATCAACCACCAGTGATCTAGTTTCTGCATTGATCACATAAGACAAATTGGACTAAATAACCTATTGCTACCTGACGCATGCGCGTACAAAATGTTTCACCACCGCAGCCAAGTAACCGAATACATGTAAACCCAGCCAACAATGGATAAATTACGAAAAATAGTGTTTTACCAACGTAAATAACATTATTTTTAAACAATGGAAAAACACAGACGTTACTAAAAATAAAACAACACCTTTATAAATTTAAGTGATTTGGTACCCAAGCATTAGACGGAGGAGAGTGTTCATAGTACAGGTTAGTCTGTTTAAAATCTCTCAACAATTATTATTTTGTTTTGTGTTTAGTATTTTATTTTACTTTACTAGAGGTAGAATGTGTGCAAAAATTATGTTAATATATATTTAAACAAAACATAACCACAATGGCTATAGACAAAAAAATATAAAAATGAAATATATCAAAATGCGTAGGCTTTACATTGCGTTCTGATCATAAATTAAACATATAATATTTTTAACTATACAAATGAGTTTACGCAAATCATTGATATTAAAATCGATAAAGCTATATCTGAAAAAAGGTGTTCGCTTATATGAACAAACTCATTAAGTGTTTGAAATTTTTTTTGTCTAATAGAATTGCAGTATTTCAAATCAATCGTAACACATTTATTTTTGTAAATCGGAGCAAAACGTGTAAACATAGAACATAGCACACTAGATATATCTTTCTGTCACCGTTAAAATTTTTAAGCCATCTTTCTCTATTTACGATAAATAATAAAATAACACTTTAAAACGCATTACATTTGGATTGTTTGACTAAATATTGTACGTATGTACTCTTGAACTCTTCTATATGTGAAAGATAAGTGCTCGGTATTTACTTTATTATATTAGTAGTACAGTGGCGTAGCTACTATTAGGTCATGTAGGCCCGTCAAGAAATTGACATTTTCACGGGGGAGGAAGTGTTACACGAAGGATGGAGTTCTTATGATAACTTCTTCAGGAGTTCTTGTGATAACTGTCACGGAGTTCGTCGGAAAACATTTGTATATACATGTACTACAAAAACACTCGTTAAAATGGTTATTTTCATCTTTCCAAAATGAGTTTTAGGTGCTAAATTAAACTTTAATGATTAAGCTTGTCTAACATCTTGTCTTATGTGTCAAAAACTAATTCACAGGCCATTTTTAATCGCCTCTTGCTTCAAATCTGGTAGTTTTGAGTAAAATTTCCAAATTATTTGCCAATTTACAAGTATTGACCTGTTTATTTCTGGTCTTCATCCTTGCCATAAATAATTACCTAATTATAATGCAAAATTGCAAACATAAAGCACCGGCTAACAGATTTATACCCGATTTTTCAAATGTCCCGGAGTTCTTAAGATAACTCTGAAGATGTCACAGAGTTCTTATGATAACTTTTGTTATTGCCAGTGTGATTCTTGCGCTAAATCACGGCACGTTTTAGCGTTTTTTATTATTCAATGAGATTATAAATCATTATGAAATATAGTACGCTTATCCTTTGCGCAAAAAATAGGATATATAATGTTGGTTTTGAGTGAACTTTAGTTCAAGAGATATTATTTCTTACCCCCGTTTCTTTTTCATAGTATTTCTTTTTGTTTGACGCAGATTTCTTTGACTGAAAAAAGGATTTATGTACTGGTTTCCTAGCAGTTTCCGGCCCCTAGCAGTTTTCTGGCCCTTTATCATTTTCATCCAGACATACAGACTATTTTTTTCTCAGTTAAGCATCTATGTTACTGCATCGATCAGAGAAACATTTGTTTTCTATGTAATACAGCAGTTATAATAGTACAGCGATTAATATGATTCAAAGTTTTGTCTGTTGTTTTAAGTTACATTAGAAAACTTGCGACACTTACAAGCAACACCTGGGGAATTCTAGTTTAAATGCCCATGCACAATAACTGAAATCCTATGTATTATATATCCTGTATCGTACTTTTTTAAGACATAAGTGTGGAAATTATCCTGATTATATACTTATTTTATTATTGTATAAAATGATACAAATTACTTAGCCCTTAGTAAGGGAAGCATGCCTATATATTGTCTGCTTAAGAAAGGTGGTTGCTTAAAACATGTGAAACTGAGAACAACGTGTACGTTTTGAGACTGTTTTGTGGTTTAAGCCATTATACTGCTTAATATCAGTGGCCGCCAGTTCAATTTTTACTGTAGATGTAGATGTATTTATCCTTTGCAGACTCTTAAGGCCAACGTTTTGTCCACATTTTTGTGCAAAGGATGATCGTAGTGCATTTCATAATGATTTATAATCTTATTGAATGATAATAAACGCCAAAACGTGCCGAAATTTAGCGCAAGAAACACACTGGCAATAACAAAAGTTATCATAAGAACTCTGTGACATCTTCAGAGTTATCACAAGAACTACGGGACATTTGAAAAATCGGGTATAAATCTGTTAGCCGGTGCTTTATGTTTGCAATTTTGCATTATAATTAGGTAATTATGTATGGCAAGGATGAAGACCAGAAATAAACCGGTCAAAACACGTGAATTGGCAAATAATCAAAACTACAAGATTTGAAGCAAGAGGCGATGAAAAATAGCCTGTGAATTAGTTTTTGACACATAATACAAGATGTAAGACAAGCTTATTAATAATCATTAAAGTTTAATTTAGCACCTAAACTCATTTTTGAACGATGAAAATAACCATTTTTAACGAGTGTTTTGGTAGTATATACAGATGTTTTCCGACGAACTCCGTGACAGCTATCACAAGAACTCCTGAACAAGTTATCATAAGAACCTCATCCTTCGTGTAACACTTTCTCCCCCGTGATTTTCAAAAGTCCCAAAAATACAATAAAAACAGGCGGGGATGGGGTTGGTAGTGGGTTCAAGCCTTATGGTCGAATCAGGTGTGTTTTAGACTTATGCATGAATTACCGTTCTCAGTAAAGTTTGCATCTAATCAAATTCATAGTTTAAAATTATTGTTTTGATAATTTTCCTCGAAAATACTTTAGATCGCAAATTTGCACTTTTTAATCGCAACTTAATTTTGCCTTCTGGGGGCTGAGCCCCAAGACCCTCTTTTATGGGCCTACAAGTTGACCCTCTTTTATGGGCCTACAAGAGCTGGCTATGCCCCTGATTACTAACAACTAGCCGGGGGTCTAATGATCGGACAATCGCCAGGCCTATTTTAAGTCTTTTTATATCCTTATTGGTTTAATTTCAAACGGTATTGATGTTTTACCAAACTATGACGAAAACGGCGAATAAGCTAATAAATGAACATCGCAAAATCAGGGGTATTTTTGCGCATTTTCAAAATAATGATTTAATTTTAGCGATGGAAAAACACAAGTGTTACTAAAAATAACCTTAAAAGCATAAATACTTAAGGCATCTGTAACTATGGGCATTGGCATAGGGAAAGTGTAGGTGAATCTTTCTTATATCTGTCAACAGTAAGTTAACATTCTTTAATTTGAATATTTATTATCTTTTTTTGCTGACAACATAATTGTTATAGTGAGTATATTAATTTAAATTTTATGATCGCAAAAAGACGACTTGTTGACCAGAATGTACACTTATAAATTTCAGAGTAAATAAAATAAACGTGTTTTTTCGTGTGTTTTTTTTTTTTAATGTAAATATTATTTTCACGCACTGAATTTAAATCAAATTAAGTTATTTCTTTGGTAAATGTTTTGAAATTAAAAAAAGACATTTAATTCTTAAAATTTACCATTCCTTTCAAGTTAAATATATGCCAGTTGTTTTGTCTATAGGAAAATTTACCAAATATTTATGATTAACCTTTACACTGGTTGCAACGCAGTCTGATAATAGTTTGCGCTGTTCGCTAATACTATTTTTTTATTTTTCACCTACAGTACTGATGAATAGTAAAGATCTAGATTGAAAACTGAGCGATTCCGTATAGTTTACTAGCACGGAAAGTGCTAATACAAAATGTCACAAACCATTTAATCACATTCAAATACGATAATGTTTTCTAATCCAATATTGATGCAATCAGGTTATACTTGATTAACACAAATTCATTTCTTTTAACTAAGATATTAATAATTTCATATTGATACTTATACTTCTTCTCATTATGTTCCTACTATATTTATATCAGTAGAAGAAATTTATCATGCCAACTGTGATGTCAAAAGAAGACTGGCTCAAAGGAGTGATGGGTTTAGGAATAGTTAAGGACGCACTCATTCCTACACTCAAAACACATTATTTACAAAAAGCTAAAGAATGGAACACAGATGACGATCACCTTAAACATTTGCTTGATCTTGGAGCGGCAAATGAAGTAAAGCAAGTAAAAAGAGAGGAATCTACTTGGTATGTTAACTGCTCTGAATGTCGATCCATCTTGAAAATGATTGAGATGACACATAGCCGACCAGCACGCTTGATGTGGATGAATAATCAAAGGGATGACTCTTGTCCTAGCGAGTACAGATTGGCTAAAATCTTTATGCCTGGTGGGAATAAAATGACCAAAGATTACAGCGATCTCGATGCGTTGGTAATTTTGGAGATTCTGAAGAACAACACACGGTTTGGGCACATGAAAAATGAAATTTTGAATGTAAATATATGTATCTCTTTTACATACTCACAATATTCAACACACTAACAATATATTATTATATTATACCTCATTTGCATACGCCCTTCTATATTTAATATGACGTCATCCGGTCCATAAACCGCATACAGACCGGGGGCGGTCCATAATTCTTATATGGACTGGATGACGTCATACTAAATATAGAAGGGCGTATGCAAATGAGATCTAATATTTTATTTTGTTGTTAAATGATTCTTTTTACTGAATTTATTGTTTTGTTTCACATAAATTTTATTACATGTTGATCAAAAGTCATGATAATTTTATGTCTTTAAATTGATTATAAATTTTTAATTTTATTTATACAGTTTGTGAAAATCTTAAAGTTTTTTTTCCTGTTTAATGTGATTAACAAAAATTGAATGACAAAAGAAGAGCATGATTTTTTTGCTGTATCGCTTGACAATAATAATAAAAAATCCGACTAGGGTTTGAGATATTTCACACACTGAACAAATAAATTATTATTTGACAGCAAATTATAGTAAAAATGACAGCAACAAAAAAGGTGAAAGGACTAAGATTCGGTATAATATAACAAATAAAACATGGCCTTTCGGGCAAAATGCAAGTTTACGGACTGGTTGGTCAGACCTCGGAAGGTATATGTCCCTCAGCTGCGCTTCGGGCCATATACCTTCCTCAGTCTGACCTATCAGTCCGTAAACTTGCATATTGCCCTCAAGGCCATGTTTTATTTGTTAAATATAGAGGATATTTGATAAGTTCAGTGTAATAAAAGGTATATTTCACGAGTGGCGCAGCCACGAGTGAAATGTGAACTTTTGGTGTTCACGAGGTGAAATATAATTCGATCTTACACTAAACAAAAAAATTTTGTTTTTATTATGCAAACAAACGTAAGAAAGGACATTTTTACCTAATAGTAAATGAATAGCGCGCCAAATAATTATACAACATGACATCATTCACGACGACACGTTATTAAGTTGGTTTCCAGTTCTGTGTACGCTGGTATTTCATTGAACTAACGTAAAGGGCTTAAATTCAAAAGAGTGAAATTATCAAATTGATAATTTCACTGTTTTAAACAGTGAAATTATCAGTTTTAATTCACTGATATATTTCTATAAACCATCGAAAAGCATGTAATAATTACTAATAACCCTTTAACCAGGGAGCATTCGAAATACTTTTTATTGCAACATCCCAAAGCGTATTTAACATTTGGAATAAATATTATGCGTCAATATTTAAAGAGTTAAACATTAATAAATCTTCATTTTGACTTAATAAAATATTTCAGATCTATATTCATATAAACATATACTAGACACGGCAATATCGCCTAAAATCAAATAAATTTCTATAACCCAGATATAAAGATATTTGAGAATATAACATTTTATTTAAACACATTTTTTGTGAATTTATTTCTAGCTAATAGTGATCAGAAACAGACTGATGCATTCAAATGATAATTGTATCAGTGCGGATGAATTGAAAGCAGCTTTTACTACAATGAAGAAACTTCTACAAGACGATATATTCAAAAACTTGGAGGAATGTACAACGGCGGTTAAAGAACTGGATAAGGGTATAATCAATTACTTTATGCTATTGATTCTAAAATAAATAAATAAATATATATATATATATATATATGTCACGGTTCAGAACTGTTCACTATATAGGGGAGAAGATGTGTAAGCGGCCGGATAGCTCAGTCGGTAGAGCCGCGGTACGGTATTCCGGGGATCACGGGTTCGAGTCCCGGTCAGGCTGCACATTTTCTCACCTTGTGACATTTGGCGCCCAACGGGGGACCGTGACTGAATATGCTCAGAGTTTAATTCACATTGCTCTGTAACTCTGTGAAATTCGAGGACGAATTTCAATATAGCAGGGGAGTATGTCACGGTTCAGAACTGTTCACTATATAGGGGAGAAGATGTGTAAGCGGCCGGATAGCTCAGTCGGTAGAGCCGCGGTACGGTATTCCGAGGGTCACGGGTTCGAGTCCCGGTCAGGCTGCACATTTACTCACCTTGTGACATTTCCACGGCTCTACCGACTGAGCTATCCGGCCGCTTACACATCTTCTCCCCTATATAGTGAACAGTTCTGAACCGTGACATATATATGTATCAAGGATTTTTTTTTCATTTGAAGAGACTACTTTTTTACATTCATTACATGTATCACTCGATTTACTTGATCACTAAATTGCACATATGTATAATTTTTCTTTCTTACTTCCAGTTAAAAAAGGAAAATATAATTTATGAAATTGATGAATCAAACGAAACTTGGAAACTCGCTATAGATATTCAGAAAAAAGCACGTGGGGGTGAAGGAATTGCAAAACCAAGTCCTGAAGCCATGAACATATTGCTGAAAAATATTCAAGCTGAACTTGAGAAGGAAAAAAATGAGCTTCAGAAGGAAAAAATGGAACAGAAGAAGCTGAGGTCAGAGCTCTCAAAATCTGAAGAACAAAGGAAAGCGGAGCAAAAGCAATGGAAATATAAGCAAGAAAGGGTCGAAACTGATCTAAAAAATGTACAAAGCAAATTGAAGGACTCTGAAAAAAAATATAACATTGACGTAGAAAATTTAGAAGCTGAAAATAAAAAACTAGTAGATGAGCTGCTAAAACATGATCCATCAATAGCTGGAAGAATTGCAAAAGGAGCAGTAACTGGAACAGGTGTCGGTATTTTAGGTGGACCAATCGGAGCAATTGTAGGGGGTGCTGCCGGAGGTGTGGTGGGAGGTGTTTCGTTCTTCTGGGACAAAATCACAAAGTAACTGTTTGATATGAATACGACAAAGAATTCTATTTGGTACATTTTAAGCCTTGTAATTATTCAGTTTTTGCCAGAAAGCTACAGCAATAAATTTGTACATAATTATGCATTTTCAATGAGCAGTTGAATGTGGAAGCTTTCAGAAGTGAATTTCATTTGCTTACCGAAAGACACCAAATAAAAAATCCCGTGTTAATGATATGTTATTATCCCCCGCCGAAAGGCGGCGGGGGATATAGAAATAGTCTCCGTCCGTCTGTCCTTTCGTCGGACATTTTTGTCCGGAGCATATCTCAAAAAGTATTTGAGGTATCAACTTGAAACTTTATAGGTGGATTGATCATATTGAAGAGGATTGCAGTGCACAATAATGATAACTCTACCCTGCATAATTTTTCAGTTATTGCCCTTTGTTACTTTTCAAACTTAATTTTTGTCCAGACCATAACTCAAAAAGCCTTTGAGATATCAACATGTAACTTCATGAGTGGATAGATCTCACTCAGAAGGTGTGCAGTGCACAAAAATAATAACTATACCATTCATAATTTTGGGTTATTGCCCTTTGTTATTTTTCATACTTTATTTTCAACTTAGTGGAGCATAACTCAAAAAGTCTTTGAGATGGCAACATGAAACTTCATAGATGGATAGATCTTATTGAGGATGAATGCTGTGCATAAGAATGTTAACTTTACCTGTTATAATTTTTGAGTTATTGCCCTTTGTTATTTTTCATACTTTTTGTCCGGAGCTTATCTCAAAAAGTGTTAGAGGTATCAACTTGAAACTTCATAGGTAGATAAATCTCATTAAGGAGGAGTGCAGTGCACAAGAATGATAACCCTACCCTGCATAATTTTTGAGTAATTGCCCTTTGTTATTTTTCAAACTTAATTTTTGTCCAGAGCATAACTCAAAAAGCCTTTGAGATATCAAAATGAAACTTCATGGGTGGATAGATCTCACTCAGAAGGTGTGCAGTGCAAAAGAATAATAACTATACCATTCATATTTTTTGAGTTATTGCCCTTTGTTATTTTTCATACTTTATTTTCAACTTAATGGAGCATAACTCAAAAAGTCTTTGAGATGTCAACATGAAATAGATCTTATTGAGGATGAATGCTGTGCATAAGAATGATAACTTTACCTGTAATAATTTTTGAGTTATTGCCCTTTGTTATTTTTCATACTTTTTGTCCGGAGCTTATCTCAAAAAGTGTGAGAGGTATCAACTTGAAACTTCATAGGTGGATAGATCTCATTGAGGAGGAGTGCAGTGCACAATAATGATAACTCTACCCTGCATAATTTTTCAGTTATTGTCCTTTGTTTTGTTTTTTTTCAAACTTAATTTTTGTCCAAAGCATAACTCAAAAAGCCTTTGAGAAATCAACATGAAACTTAATGGGTGGATAGATCTCACTTAGGAGGTGTGCATTGCACAAGAATGATAGCTCTACCCTTCATATTTTTTGAGTTATTGCCCTTTGTTATTTTTTTACTTAATTTTTTACCTTAGAGGAGCATAACTCAAAAAGTCTTTGAGATGTCAACATGAAACTTAATAGGTGGATAGATCTTATTGAGGAGGAATGATGTGCACAAGAATAATAACTCTATCCTTATATAATTTTTGAGTTATTGCCCTTTGTTATTTTTCATACTTTTTGTTCCGGAGCTTATCTCAAAAAGTGTTAGAGGTATCAACTTGAAACTTCATAGGTGGATAGATCTCATTGAGGAGGAGTGCAGCACACAAGAATGATAACCTTCCCTGAATTATTTTTCAGTTACTGCTTTTTGTTATTTTCAGTCATCAGTATTCACATAGGTTTCAAATCTGTAATTACTTTAGCCATCAGTTTTCATTACAAAAGAACCTCTTTAGATTGAATTATTCTGCTCTACTACATATACATTCTTACAATGAGCAAACACATTCGGCGGGGGATGGCCATGCTAGCATGGCTCTTGTTTGATAATTGGTATGTTAAGTTGATGTAAATTTCTAAATTTTGATATATTTTTGCATATATGTTTTATAATAAGTATGTATTAATGTGAAAACGTGAGTGTAGGTTACACTTGGGGGAAATCACGACAGTTCCATTTAGTAACACATATTGCAGTGTCTAGATTTAAAAATTAAAAGATGTTACAAAACTCTGAAATAACCTTTGAAGGTAAAAGCAGATTTACCACCATCATAGTATCTTTAATGATACTTCTTGTTAAGACTTGACAAGTTTCCAAATCATAATGTGAGGGATTATTCTACAATATTTAGAGTTAATGTTTTATATTTTATCGTACGTTATGCAAGCTTCTTTAAACAAGTTATTCTTTCAATTGCATGTTCTCAGTCTATACAATGTGTGTGTATACAAAACTGCGTCCAACATTAAGAAATATCACTTCAAAGACGCATTCTGTGTGTGCTGTTTGTGTGTGGGTGAGCGCGTGTGTGTGCGTGTTTGTTTGTTGTGCTTTTTGCTTTTTTTACATACATTGTACTTTAAGTTGTCCGGAAATAACTTTAATATTGTTTAGTACTTATTTTTTAAAGCTTCTATTTGTATGTATGTATCTTAGTTATTAAACCTGTATCGTAATAAATAAAAACGTATAAGCAATGTTGTGTAGGCTTTGACTTTTGTTCAAGAAAATGCATTAATACCTAGCATGTTACTATACATTATGTATAGTAACAAAATATAGGGTCGTTCATTACAAAATTACAGGTGCATAAAGAGTTAGTTTTGAAAATGCGCACGTCTATGCCTATTTTTGACTACATCCGTTTGATTTAACATGTTATTTGAAAGAGGGAATCTTCAATTAAAATATTTGATTAAGAGGCTTATTATTTGCAGAGCACGGATACAGTAAAAATGCTTGGCATAAACGCTCACAAGTAGTTTTCAAAAGGAACACGTCTGGAAGTTTGGCAACAAACGCCCTCCATATATTTCAAAGGCCTTTTTGTAGGTCATTTGATGTACGCTAATTAAGCAGCTTATTGAATACACTATTATTACTTCAATCAAGAAAGTGAACGGTTGTGGAACATTCGACCGTTGCACAGGAGAGTAATCATGACTATGACCTGACCTTGGGACCTGATTAATGCGCGCGTAACGTCAACATATTTATTCCGAGTACGAGTAATTTTTAAATCCATCCAGGGATGACAGAATTGTTGACATGAAGATTAGTGTATTGTTATGAACAAAAATCATTGTAAGTCAAAGCGTGACCTTGACCTATGAACTACAGTCGCAAATCTCTTAAATTGGAAAAAGAACAGGTTCATTAACTTTATTATGCACATGTTAAGATTTTTTTTGTTTCTTTTTATTGGGGTTTCGTAATACCAGCACAGTTAAGGTAATATGGCGACTTTTAAGCTTTACTGGTAAAGGAAGACCTCAGGTGCTCTTCTGTAAATTATTCCAGGTACCAGAGTAGAACCACTGACGTTTCCTTATCTATCCGGATAGCTTTTTAATTATGAAAGAATCCAAAATTACTGGTACAGATTTAAACCAACAGCGGTGAGGGGCAGGTAGTGAAGTCAACGAACTTAACCATTCAGCCACGGACGTCCCGCAAATGTCGAGTTATATTATAATGGGAAGGTTAAAAAAACAAGTTCTATAAAATAAAATATTGACTAACATTTCAAAGTGTTATTTTTTAACATTTCAAAGTGTTATTTTTTTGGTCAGACCAATGACATGGATGAATAACTTTCAAGAATTCAAAGTAGGTTTCCAAGAACAACAATACCGCACTACTTTATCTTTTGATTTTGAAATTACTTAGACATGCTAACAGGTTTATGCTGGACATAGGTCTGTAGATTCAACATCAAAGGTGAAAGGTCACAAAAGGGATTTGCATGCTCAGTGTGTCATTTCTTTAACCCCACAAAAATGTTTGATATCCAGAAGGCTGGTGTACTTACTAGTAAAACTCAAGACGCAAGTATGTTCAATAGCAAGGGCACACTTTTAAAGTCCAAAGGCAAAATGTGGTGTTTTGTCAACATGTACATTGCATGTTGTTTCACTTTAAATGTCCCCAAAGTTTCAATTTTGAAACAACTGTGACAAAACTGGACACTCATGTTATGCGGACGAGTAACTCCTATGGAAAAATACACATGTACGTGAGAACCCAATAACATGTCCAGTTGAAAAACAATTGGGAACCCATGTCAAGTTGAAAAACAATTGGGAACCCATGTCCAGTTGAAAAAACAATTGGGAACCCATGTCCAGTTGAAAAACAATTTGGAACCCATGCCCAGTTGAAAAACAATTGGGAACCCATGTCCAGTTAAAAAAACAATTGGGAACCCATGTCAAGTTGAAAAACAATTGGAAACCCATGTCAAGTTGAAAAATAACTGAGAGCCCATGTACAGTGTTAAAAATAAGCTGAGCGTTTATGCCATGTGGACAAATAGCTATCTATGTCTTAATGAATGCAAATGGCTAAGCATCCATGTTCAATTGACGAATAGCTGAACAATCATGACCTATGACCTAAGCTTAGTAACCACCAGTGGACAAATAACCGAGAACAGTTATGCTATGTGGACAAAACTATATACAGTCTCCAGCTCTTTATCATGAAGTACAACAAATCGTTTATTTATATTAGAAGAACAAAGATAGTACTTAATATACATTATTTTATTGGATGCTTTCATAAACTGCATGTTTCAATCACATCTATTCTGAATTATTAAACTGTACAATAAGTCTTTTAGCTGTTGTTTTCTTCTGTTGAATTTTAGCTATTCTATTTGCCTCCATTGATCACTTTTTAGCTTTTGCTGCTTCTTGGGCTGCTTTCTTTGCTCGAATTAGTTCCACCAATTCCTGAATAATTATGAAAACAGATATATAACAGTCTTTTCTTCACTATACATGCATCCTTTTTGAAGACAACTGTTGCCTTGTTTATAAAATATATACTATTCAATAGAGCAATACTTGGTCAATTTTCTGGTCATTGGACTTACAGATATATACTAGGCTCAATAGTACCAACTTCACTTGATCTGTAATAGGGAACACAGCTTCCCATACATAGTTTATTCATTCTTTTATTCATATAAGACTTATTCAGTTAGAATTTCATAGATTTAAATATATTTCTGAGATTAAAATATTTTACTCAAGGATAAACATAGTAAATCCTTGTTATTATTAAGGTCATATGGGTCTCTGACACCTGTAAGCAGAAGAACATCTTAGGTGCTAGACAATGCATGGCATTGAAATAACTCCCCCTCCCCCACTCCCTTAAGATGCACATAATGGTCTCATTAGACTTCTGTGCATATAAAACAGTGAATAACATAAAATCAAAAAAGTGAATATCATAAAATCAACTTAAGTAAATATTAAAAGTCGTTCAGTGAATAACTGAGTTCAATCTCAGTGTCTATATTAAAATCTGTAGAGGACTAAAAAAAAACATCTGCCATACCTTATATCTCTTCATGCAATCCTTTTTACTCCTTGTTGGAACAGCCTCAGCTATTCTCTCCCATCTCTCAGGGGTACTGGCAGGGTAAGTTTTCAGCGCTTGTTCTAACAATTTCTGCTCATCTGTAGTCAAGTGGGCCAGGTTGGTACCCATTTCTCTTATCTGTTGCTCAGCCACAGCTTAACATATATATACATAACAAATTACTAGGAGTATCTTTTTTATTCGAGTAAATGAATATCAGACATGTTCAATTCTTTCAGAAAATGTGTGCATTTATTTACCTATTTATCTATTCCTCCATTCCTTTGTTCATTGTATCATTTATTTATTTATCTACCTTTTCATTTATTTACCTATCTATTGATTTTTTCTTAATATTTTGATATTGTTTTGATCAAGTTTTACGTCACACCGACACAGTATAGGTCATATGGGGACGTCCAAGCTTTACTGATGGAAGAAGACCTCAGTTGCCCTTCCCTGCAATATTTTAGGCACAAACAGGCACCTGAGTGGAACCAATGTTGTACCGTAACCTCTATTTATTTATATATCTATTCATTTATTTACATGTATTCCTATATTTCTTTATAGGATAATTTTTCAGTTATCCAGACATTGCTCAAGTTATAGAACTTATTTCCTGCTTAAGTTAACTTAGGTGGAGGAAGACCTCAGGTTCCTCTATGTGTATGATTTAAGACAAAACTGGGAAGCTGAACATATCCACCTACCTTCTGTAAGTTGGATATGTTAAGCTTTCTCAAATAAATGAATGTTAAGTCAGTGGGGGAATTCCGAAAGAGAAGTCATCAACTCTATATGCCCCCCCCCCACCAACACACACAAAAAGGGGGGGGGCAAAAAGAGAAAATCCTTAAAGATCTTTTAACTCAAATTTTTTCATGATTTTTCTATCATAAATCTGGTGCTCAAATGAAGATTTATCAATATTGTAAGTTCAAAAAATGTAAATAAAGGGAGGTAATTAGAAATCTATTTTCTATAAAGTCTAAGCCAAATTTTTCAATAAGAAATGAATGCATAGACTTTAATGCCACATATTTAGCATGTTCTTTGATGTTAGAAGAATAATTATATACATATATTAAATTTCACTTTAGTGTTGTTACATCCTTAATTACAACATACAGGATCTTTAACACTGTATAAGTCGTTAACTTTGTGACTTGAAAAGATTTGCGATTTTTGCGAATTTAAATTATTCGCAAATATTTCAGTGCGCTAAAATTATTTCTATCATCTGAAAACACGTTTTCATACAGCATCTTACAAAACGTTTGACTGTTCAGGTACTGAGATTAATTTTTCTCATTGCTTGTTTGTTTAAGTTTGGCCTCAACAAATTACAAATGTTTTAATGAAACAATGTAATTATGCGTTAATAACAAAATAGGTTATTCATATAACAAAAGAATGTTGCAAAATATGACGAAGAAATAAGATCAGGTTCTTAATAAAACTAACAATGTATATTTCTAACAATTACATAAATGATAAAGGTATAAAACAACTGAATAGAACGATTACAATAATGACATATTCTTAACATGTACCTGTTTGAATAATGACATTACAAAAACAGTATTAAATTAAAAAGATCTTATTTTCACAAACATTTCCGCACGCAGAAACTGAAAATTCAATTTTTGACATTCGCAAATTTTTTGTGACACATAAATATCCACTAATACAGTATATAACAACCAATGAACCTAGTGGTAAAATAACGCAGCTAAATAAGAGAACAAAGTTATAATACTCACATTCAACTCTCTCACTAAGTACTTGGCCTGATTAGCTTTCTTCTGCTCCTTCTCAAAGTTCTGGAAAGCCTGCTCTGTAGCCTTCATCTTCAGAGTTGTATCTGTCAATATTGTTAAGATATCATAAAAAATTAATATGTTAATATTGTTAAGGATATAAAAATTCTGCATTCTGCATGTACATTTATTTTGTATTTTGCTGTACTGAAATGTATTGTACTATATTCTAACACTATCGGATTTTTTCTATATAGACAAAGAAGGCCCGAAGCGTGCATTATTCCACAACAATGCACTCGCCGTTCTTATTACCTCCCTGTGTATTTTCACATTGAGGGCGCCATTTTGTTTTAAAAATCTGATAAATAAAAACATTTTTTGTCGATTTTTGTTGTGAAAGCTATCTAGAATGAAAGAAAATGGTCTAACTAAGAAAATGAATCCGAACACCAATATCTTTAATTCAGTCGTTAACGCTGTACAGACGTTTAAAGTGATGTTTACGTGACGTCACAATATAGCGCGTGCAAAACAATCAAATCAAGTACGCTATTTTAATGTCGCAAACAAGTTAAATTCCACATTTATTTCACTTTTAAAAATTTGTATTTCGCTTGAAAAATTATAGAGTGAAATAAAATAAACAAACAAAGTTTTACCAACGTTTTCAAAATTTGTTTTTCTCAAAATGTTTCTACACACGGTAGATTTATCGACAGCTTTTTTTTCAACCAACTCGGACAGCTCATAAAGAACGTTTCTATGGGAAACTCTGAGGCGAAAACAAATTAAACCACCAAACATAGAGTCCAACTTTATAATAATAATTATATTTTTTCTTGACGTGTTAGAATGGAAATAGATATTAATTCTTCGTGCATTATTGTATAAATAATGCACGTTTTTCGTTCAAATGCTTTGTAATTAATCACTCAGGCCTATCGGCCTTCGTGATTATATTACTACGCATTTGAACTCAAAACGTGCATTATTCTACAACAATGCACTCAGAATTGATATCTATT